GCTAGGGAAAGGGCAACTTTGTATGGCAGGTACCCGAAATATTAAAGGTACACACCCCATAACTTGATAGAAAAATTCTATTTGTATTTAAAACACTTACGTAAAGAAATTTTCCAAATCGGTTAAGAAATGTAGAAATGCGAGTGTTTACATCCATCCATCCATCCAGACCCGAAAGCGGACACAAATTTTTTTTTCGTTTTTTTCCACTTTTCTCGACGTTTCAAGCCATTTTAAGTGTAACTAAGCAAAGAAAATTTTTTGAAATTTTTGCGTAAATCCAATACGGTTGCCCGTCACCCTAGGGTGGGGCCTCCGTAAGTCGTGCAATGTAAGTTTTGCAATATCTTTAAATGATCGTTTTTCAAGCAAATTATTTGACTTTCAACTTAAAATAACCAAATGAGAACCCAACAATCAATGTATGTTAATTATATTTATTGCAAATATCGTTTTGAATAAATTGATCAGAAAATATTTGAATCAACTTTCTTAAAGTTTTTATTTTGTATTTAGAAAACTATTAGTTCTCCGAGAAAAAATCTTCTGGAGTTTAATTATGATTAAAAAAGTTTAAGAAACAAAACCAGTTGAACAACATTAAAATTTCATTAGTTAAGTAAAATTTCTGTGCATCTCAAAAATGAGACCAAAACAAGTTTAATTTTTTTAGATAATATTAATACTTACTAACGAATATTATTTGGAAACTTAAGGAGTTAGTAAAGGCACATTAAAAATTTCTTTGTTCCAAATGTGGATCTGAATCCAGTAGAAATCTCGAATTGGTCATGTTTCGTCAAGGGTAAAAGTTTAAGAGCGAGCACGAGAAAGTTTCTTTGATCTGTCAGCTCTTGGCGGTATTGCAACTGCACTCTTTCCACCTCCAGTAACGTGACGATTGTACAAACTAAAAATAAAAGTGAGAGCGAAATATTATTTAATGTCACAAAGTAATAAATAAATTGTTGGTCCACCCACATCCTATAAGCTTCTGTCTTAATATATTCGAGTACATGACTGATTCCGAGTAAATATTGCTCAACAATTGGTTGAACCCACGGATTCTCTTCCATCTTGAACACTGACTTGGTGTTGTAGAGATCCAGATTTGCGATTTCCGGAGGAATGACTGTCAACCGGTTATTTTGAATGTGCAATTCGCGCAAACGAGTTAATTCTCCGATTTCACGAGGGAGTTCAAGCAAATCGTTATCTCTCAATCCAAGCTTTAAAGGAATTCAAAGAAAACAAAGTTTATTAACTTGTTTGAAAACTTCTAACTTAGTTACGGCTCACGATTTGCAAATTTTTCATGTTTTTGAGCTCCGGTGGTAAATATTCAAAATCGTTGTCACCCAAATACAAAGCGCGGAGTGTTTCTAAAATAATTTTTATCTCAGACTGATTCGATTGATTCGAGATTGACCATTACTTACCTAACTTGAAGAAATTTCCTGGTAAAACATTTTCGTTCAAATTATTGTACGACAAATCCAAAACCTCGAGAGCGGGAAAAGCACCAAACCCCCTAAAATTGAGATTTATGATCATGTTTATTAGTTGATGTCGTAAACAGCTGCAAAATATTTTGTTTTATCTTTCGTATCTTTATTTTTTACCTTGGCAGTGAATTAAGACGATTAATTGAACAGTTGAGGATTCTCAGCTTTGACATCGATGAAAGTGACAGTGGCAATTCATCGAGATGGTTATTGGATAAATTAAGAATTTCCAAGTTAGTTAAGTTGGCAATAGCGGCTGGCAATACTAAAATATTATTTTAATTAATATTTTTTTGAAACAATTTCTAATTCACACGAATTTACTTACCAGAAATCTTATTATGACTTAAAGTGAGCCGCGTCACAAACCCCAAAGAAACTATTTATGATCGAAATTAAGAATTAGAATGTTAAAAATTAAAATAAAAAAAAATGTAAACATATGGGCGTAAAATATTTATTTTATTCCATATTTGGAAGTGATCTTGATCGTTTTTCATCACTCACAGATGTTAGGAATTTCATCGAAAGAATGAATATTCTTTTCGACTAAATCAATTTCACGAGTTTGAAGATTTTGAGCTTCTTCCAGAATTTTTTTAACTTTCGACATATTCTTTCCCGAGACTGGCAAACACTGAACCTGACTCATGATAAGAGAGTTTTATGCTTCGCGACTCTTGTAAAGTATCCGAACTATGACAGGTTTATGTTATAAAATCTATCAAGCCATATGAAGAAAAATGAGAAAGTTGGAAGTTAAAACTTTTCTTGATAAAATATAATTTATGAATGAAAAATCCTATGACATCTTGCAAAAAATAAATATGATCAAATATCATCTACAGTTCTCATCACACTATTGACTTAAATACGCATTCTCGTTCAAAATATGAAATAAAAGAAATTAAAGATTGCAAAACTCACACAGTTACGATATCGGATTGTTTATAACAGTTATGCCACCAAAATTTCTTCCGTTTGAATTTCAAAAGACCGTTAAATGGTATTTCTATCATTTTGATTCATAAAGTTTTCGATGTTTCGATTAAAGATTTCTTTTGATAAATTCGATCTATTTCCTTCAGCCTTTTTCGCATAATTAATAACAATAATTTCTTGATGATTTATTTTGAGCGGAAAAATTGAAAATCTAAACCGATTCATTCTTCAATCATATCGATTTGAAATGTATAAAAATTAATAAAAATTACCGTAAAAATGAGATCACTTCTCTACTGCTTCTGTTCCCATTTCTCAAGTAATTGATTGTAACTGATTTTGAAAAGATGCAACAGACAATAACAGTGGTAGAAATGATTTCGATGTTTTACGTGATTCTTTATGATACGGTTAAACGTGCGAAATATTTTTTTATTCAATCACAAACAGAAGCTGAACGCTAAATATAATGATTGATCAGCTACGGATTGAAAAAATTATATCCAATCCTGAATTATGCCTAATCAAAGTTAACAATCAAACCCTTATTCGAAAGGTGCAAATCGCAGTTGTTTTTGCTATCTCATTTAATTTCGAATTTCTTTTCATCTTTGATTTTCATAAATTGATCATTCCATTAAATTTATTAAATTGAAATTCAGTTATCTGTATCAAAATGCTGTTTAACCTTTCAACCTTGTTGGATCTCTCATTGGGAAAACCAAATAAATTGGATTCTGAAAATTTCAATCTTCTGCATACATTTCTGCATATATTATTAAAAAAATTGGATATCAGTGATATGGTTGTTGATTTATCCGGTAATTTAGGCGAAAGAACTTCTTCATTAAAAAAGGAAATGTGTTCGGAATTAATGCAAATTACAAAAGAGGTAAAAATTAAATTTGAAAAGAACAACACGATTCGAATTTTTTATCATTATTTAGATCACTTTCGAAGCTAATGGACAAAATTCAACGGGAAATGATGGAGAATGTTCAATTGCAAATTCATCAATAAGTTTGATTCCAAACACACGTTTAAATTCAACTGAAAATATGACGATGGCGTCGATTCAATCAGATTTACTTCGGAGGATTGAAAGATTGGAGAACAATTTTCAAAATATTTCTTTAAGCATAAACAATTACGATCAAACAGGAGCTGGCCATGAAGAACTTTTAACAGAGAAATCTCGAGTAGGCTCATCAACAGCGATTAAAGGCGATGAAGCGATAGAAGAAGAAATAGAAAAATTGAAGCAAGAGATGAACAATGTTTACGAAAGTATTTTATATCTCAAAGATACTTCAATTAACAAAAATGACTTTAAAGTCACAGTTCGTAAAATTACTTCACAAATTCGTATTCTAAAACAGAAAATGGAAGCTGATGAAAAAGAGTTTGAAAAACGAATGAATTTGCTTTTAAGGCAATTTACAGAGAAGGAAAAGCAACTTCTTGAAAATCAATCAAATAAAAACGATTTTTCTAGCATCGAAGGACAAAATCGGGATTCAATCATCGGGACAAACAATTGTGACTGCAGTGGAAGTTTCAATTGTGATTCAATCGAAACTTATGAACTTCTTGTTCAACTCGAAGAAACTTTAACTAACGAAACTATTACCAATTCCGGAAAGCAATCGCTTTCGTCAATCATCAACTGTCTAAATAATCTCCAAAAGATTATTTCAGCCCACAATAATTACCTCAATAAGTTACTTCATGATATTGCTATGAAAGCTGACAGATATCAATTGGAAACTTATCGTATGGAAGTCAGCAATTTCTTCAATAACTTTCAATCTAAAACTCAACCAACAGCAGCAGGGGGAGTTGAAGTTTTAAATTTTCAAAAAACTCATTGCATTTCATGTCATCAACCAACAAACATGTCAGTTTTGCCTTCATGCTGTAAAGCTCAAACTTTTGGATTTAGTTACAGTGGTGGAGATTCTAACAAAACTAAAACACGATTTGGATCGAAACTTCATCGTCGTGCTGGTGGAAGTCATACAAAAGTAACAAAAGCAATGGATGTTCATGCAGCAAGAATGAAAGTTAAAAGAATGCCAACACCCGTAAGAATAATTTCATCAATTCTTCATTGCAAACATCGACTCCGAAATCAGAAAAATATCTCATGAAGAAATTATCAATTCTTCTCGTTTCTAAATCATTTCTTTAGTAGAAAATAAATAAATAATTGACACTGAATCGATGTATTGAACAAGACCACCTGACTAGACTTTATTTAACTTTTCTTCACGGGATTGGTTAGAGAAAGGCGCGGCTCAAGTTCATTTCTCGCTTCAATCAACAGTTTGCATTGTGATGATGAAGATTTGGAGTCTAATTTGAGGCTTTAATCTTTTTTAAAAATCATTTATTAAAGATGGAGTCAACGCTGCTTGCGGCTAATGAAACGCTGATTTCTTTAAATTCATCAAATCACATCATGTATAATCTTCATTATACAACGTAATCTATTTTGTTTAATTACGATTTGCCTCTTTCAAAATGGTGAGTTCATTTAGGAGCGAAAAACTTTTTTATTTCGTTAAAAACATTTTTTTGTTCGTGATTAATAAAAACAATCAAATTTATCCGTTGATAAGAAGAACTTGGATTAATTTTTAATTTCACACAATTAGAAGAAAGCTTTATGATCATCATTAAAAGCTCACTGATGATTCAACCAACACTCACACAACAGTCTCAAAAGCTCTCTTTCTTTACTGTTGCGTTTTGTTTTCATTTCGCAAGCAGAGAAAAAAATTCTTAACAATACTTAAGAGGATTTGCGAACACAACAAGAAAGTTATTAAAGAAAAAGATCAAAGGAAGTTTTCCGACTCTTTGCAAACACATCTAACCGGCGATATGCGAGCAATGAAATCGAATGCCTTGTTTGGATGTTGGAGGCTTGGACGCGTTTTTCTTGTGCGACTCTTAAGAGTGTGCATAATGCAATTATTCATTTGATCTTTTCTGGTTGTTTTGCATCTTTTAATTCCTTTGCTTTCCTTGCCTTCTTCACATGCTCTCTTTATGCAAAAGTTCGCTCAATGATCGGCTTTTGGGTGGCAAAGAATCTTTGATTCCGTTGAATAATGTCTTTTAATTTTCTCTTACTCGTATGTGATTTCTTAAATTGATGGAATTTTGTAACGAAAGCAGAAATTACTAAGTTGCATCACTTTGCCACCTGATAACAACAATTTGCAACAGTTGATGAATGGAATGGAAGGAGAAATGAGAAATCGTCTTCAACTGTTGATCTTTGGGAAGAAGTCAATTAATCATTTTCTGTTTTACGTGTTATTGAGATCGGTCGGTGATGTTGAATTGAAGTAATGATTTGATTTGTGTGAAAAGCATAAAAATCCTAAACACTTGATTTACTATAATTATCCTAAACTGACCCCACACGTTTCATAAATTGAGACAGCCGAGAGGAAAATTGTGTAATGATCTCATTTCGTAAGAGGCTCATGATTAGTTCTATAATCTCAGGAAGCTTCGAGCATGTTCATGTCTCTGCAGGTAATTGATGGATTTAGGAAGACGCGATGAACAAATGAGAGAAACGTAAATGCGAAAATTGATGAAACTCTTGAAATTATCTACAAAACAAGTGAATATGAGCTTCATTACACATTCAACTGATGATATCGATCTTCACTCGAGTATTGTCTGGGAAATTATCGAATCAAATTTCAAATTAATTAGATATTTTCTCACTCACTACTCGCTGAATAATTTCATTCGATTTGAAATCGAATCCATAAACATCAAGAAGAATTGCGGGTAGTGAAGCTTCAGAATGATGAAGTAATTTTTAAAATTCCAATTAAAATTTTACGCTCATAATCGCTTTAGAATAGTTTACAAGGTTCAATAAATATTGAATGACTCCAAGCCTATAATACCACCCTCATCGCATGAAAAATTAAAAATTCGATTAAAANAAAGCAAGAAGACGCGAAGACGTAGGTAGCCATTGATGAAATAATAAAAAGAAGGTTGGACGAATGCACGCCGTCTCAGCGCCTCAAAGGGTTTGAAGAACGCGTTCACTTACTTGCTTTCATCTTCTTCAATAAATTCTTCTAAAGACCTCACAATGATTCAATTTTTGATGAGAAAAATAATTCAAGAAAAAATGATTTAATTTGGTTGAACATTGTTCACTTCACCGCCATAGAACTGCAATCCTGGAATAGTTTCAGGGGTTCGAGATAGAGAATTGAAACACGATTTCTAACAATGGCTGATTTGTTCTGGTATTTGTGGGGTTCAACGATGAACAGGAATGAATTATTCTTTAACCAAACATATTAATTAAGGTTTACATCGGAAACGTGTTTTCTTTTCAAATATTTTTTGTGGATTTTTATAAAAAGGGAATGTGGATAGTAATTCATATCATTAGAACCGCGACTTCATCATTCAACTCGACTCACAAACACATTTTTGTGAGTCTTGTTGTTGATTAAAAGAAACACCTTTTATGCTGAATTAATATTTATTTTTGGTTATCCCTCAATAGTGTTTCTCAAAATCCCTATTTTTAGGGAATAGGGAAAAAGAAATCGTCAAATTTCTACTAGAAATCGCTTAATTTTTCCTATAAAGATGGATTGTTTAGTGTTTTCTATGTCAGAACATTACGTTAATGCAGTTTTTTCTTTTAAAAAAAGTCGATATCTAGTAGAAAATCATCGATCCCTGATCCCTGTTTTTCAAAAAACAGGGATTTTGAGAAACACTATCCCTCAAGCATTAATTATGAGCGGTGAAAAGAAAGCTGGGGAATAGAGAACTGGAATCATTTTTATATCACTGATACTTGCCTAATAGGAACTCATGTTGTAAATATTAAGGGAAGAAGCATAAATTAATTTGATTGTTAGTTTTTCTTCAACTTATTTTCAAAATGAAGAGAATTAATAACAAAGCTAAGTGCTTAAATATAACCAAAAGTCAAAAAGTATGTAGAATTATTGAATTCGTAAGAATGAAATCAACCTATGTTAACAAATTTCTTTGAAAGTTAATGACTCATGTGTTCTATACACAAAGTTCACGATTTCAATGGTTAATAAAACAAACATGGTTGCATAGAGAAATCGTGTTTAGCAATGTTCGTGTCTAAGCAACAGAGTCAATAAAGTTTTTCCCTGAAAAATGATTCAAAGTTCATAATATTTTTAGATTAAAAGAGTTGATTCGATATTTTGAGAAACAACATCATTTTGTACTTGAATGAGAACTGAGAATTCTAATGTTAAGAACTTATCACTGCCATTCAAAATAAGTATTTATAACATGCACAATGAGAACATGTAATCAAAAGAAATGCTTCTGTTTTTCAATCTGAAGCTGATCAAGCGTAATTGGACTTCATTTGCATGCTGAATGATGCAGATGCACCAAATGATTGCAGCGATGGAAATCAATTTTCGATTTTTTACGTGATCCATTACAGGATCCGTTAATGGTGGGAAAATTTAAATAATTTTCAGTTGTGACGAGTGAAAACAGAAGCTGAAGATGATTGCTTCCGATAATCATTTAGTGAAGTTGATTGGAAAAAAAGATTGGTGATGTTATTACGAATTCAATTTCAAATTACTTCTCATTCAAATGAAAGTTTCTTTTTTTATTTTCTACATTTGCAAATTGCAATTAATATCTCTGACTGATTTTCAACACCAAGTTCAACATGATTTCCAACGATCTTATGAAAACGGAAAAGTTAACCTTTAATTATGACAAACATATCTGCAATAATCATGAAAACTTTTCATACAGTACTCAGATATTTATGCATACGAATCAGCAGAAAGAATAAAATACTATTAAGCAATAACAGAAACAGTAATTGGAATAAGAGTAAAAGCATGATGCGTATGAACATAATTAATTAATGATGGTGTTGCAGAAACATAACAACATAGTAACATAACAACATAGTAACACGCAATATTCATTTGCCTTTTTTTTGTCATAATTACAATCTGCAGTCTTAATTGAATTAATTTTTGTTCATTTTATGTCGCCTTATCTGACATTCTCTAATCTCACATGCTGTGTCTCTTCCATGTCTTCATTAATTAAGAATCATATAAGGCTGTTGAGAAATTTTTAATTAAATTATGACTTTTTTGTTTCTGATTCCATACATTTGATTACACCGGAAATTCCATAGGCAAGAAACCGCAGCTAATGGCTGAGTTTAAGAAAACGATGGGAATTTGTGATGAAATTCGATCACAACAAAAAAACAGATTGGTGAGTAAAAAATCAATGAACTGCTTGCAATTAAATTTCAATTAACTTCTAATTTACGAGTGATGACTTTACGTTTACAAAGAGTTTTGTTAATTGATTTGATAAATAAGAAAAAAATATTTTTTCACCTGTCAATCTGAAACTTTGATCAGAAACATTTCTGTATTATTAATTTATTAATCAGCCATCACTGCAATAAAATAACTGCGCATACATCCGTTCAAATTCACTGTTCCTTTGATGCTGTGTTCATCACATTTCAACAAATAAAGTCATTTAATGAAATTAGTTAAAGGCGAGGCGAGGCGTTAGCTCATTTCTCACTAAAATGAACTCTTTCACAAGTTGAGACATTAATTGAGGCCTAGAAAAGATTATCAACATTATAAATTAAAGATGGAGTTGACGCTGCTTGTGGCTAATGAAACGTTTTCTTTTCTCTAATTTAGCAAATCACATCACGTATAATTTTTCTATGCTACACAACGTGACTGAATTGACTTGATCACACAGTTTGAAGTTTTCAAGATGGAGATCTTATGACATTACATTTTTATTGTGTTTCTTCTGCTATTTCTCCAATTGTGTTTCAAATCTCAAGAACCATACATAGAGAAGAATCTTTTCAACGTTCTGTCATTAAATGATCACAAGCTACATAAAAGCTCACTGATGATTCAACCAACACTCACACAACAATCTCAAAAGCTTTTTTTCCTTACTGTTTCGTTTTGTTTTCATTTCGCAAGCAGAGAAAAAAATTCTTAACAATACTTAAGAGGATTTGCGAACACAACAAGAAAGTTATTAAAGAAAAAGATCAAAGGAAGTTTTCCGACTCTTTGCAAACACATCTAACCGGCGATATGCGAGCAATGAAATCGAATGCCTTGTTTGGATGTTGGAGGCTTGGACGCGTTTTTCTTGTGCGACTCTTAAGAGTGTGCATAATGCAATTATTCATTTGATCTTTTCTGGTTGTTTTGCATCTTTTAATTCCTTTGCTTTCCTTGCCTTCTTCACATGCTTTCTTTATGCAAAAGTTCGCTCAATGATCGGCTTTTGGGTGGCAAAGAATCTTTGATTCCGTTGAATAATGTCTTTTAATTTTCTCTTACTCGTATGTGATTTCTTAAATTGATGGAATTTTGTAACGAAAGCAGAAATTACTAAGTTGCATCACTTTGCCACCTGATAACAACAATTTGCAACAGTAAATGAATGGAAGGAGAAATGAGAAATGAGAAATCGTCTTCAACTGTTGATCTTTGGGAAGAAGTCAATTAATCATTTTCTGTTTTACGTGTTATTGAGATCGGTCGGTGATGTTGAATTGAAGTAATGATTTGATTTGTGTGAAAAGCATAAAAATCCTAAACACTTGATTTACTATAATTATCCTAAACTGACCCCACACGTTTCATAAATTGAGACAGCCGAGAGGAAAATTGTGTAATGATCTCATTTCGTAAGAGGCTCATGATTAGTTCTATAATCTCAGGAAGCTTCGAGCATGTTCATGTCTCTGCAGGTAATTGATGGATTTAGGAAGACGCGATGAACAAATGAGAGAAACGTAAATGCGAAAATTGATGAAACTCTTGAAATTATCTACAAAACAAGTGAATATGAGCTTCATTACACATTCAACTGATGATATCGATCTTCACTCGAGTATTGTCTGGGAAATTATCGAATCAAATTTCAAATTAATTAGATATTTTCTCACTCACTACTCGCTGAATAATTTCATTCGATTTGAAATCGAATCCATAAACATCAAGAAGAATTGCGGGTAGTGAAGCTTCAGAATGATGAAGTAATTTTTAAAATTCCAATTAAAATTTTACGCTCATAATCGCTTTAGAATAGTTTACAAGGTTCAATAAATATTGAATGACTCCAAGCCTATAATACCACCCTCATCGCATGAAAAATTAAAAATTCGATTAAAATTGTGTTTGTGCGAGCGCCTGCAAGGTATTGAAATTAATCCAATTTGTGGCTGAGAAAGCAAAAAATTAATCTTAAATTATTAGACATTGTATTTAAATTAAAACTCGTTTCTTTAATGCTCGCCTTTGTCCAGAGAGCTTGATGAATAAAAATGAAATAAAACACTTTGGTAAATACATTCTGCTTATGCACAATCATCGTTTACGGCCAGTGAATAAAGCGATTTAAGTTTCTCCATGGTGACGTGAAAAGCTTTTTTTATTTACAGCAACTAACGGCTTGTTTGTGTAGAGTAAGAGGCGTGATTTAAATTGAATTTAATAATGTTAAAGTCAAATCTGTTATCTAAACACAAAAACACTGAAAAATGAAAAAGCTTACAAGTGATGAATGCTTTCAATCAATTTTAAATTAAATTTGCACCTTTAATCAAATCATCACCGTTCATTAAATCCATCATCGATGATTTAGGTCACCAGCTTTTGCCAATCATTTTACTTCAACCACCACGATGTTTTATCAGTAATCAATTTAATTAAAATTCAAACCTTTGTCTTTAACAAAGCTGACAAATTTGTTGCCTGAAGAAGAAAGCATTCTAATTGATGTGTGTGTGAGTTATGTGAAGAGAAATACCGTGAAACGAGAGTATTTCAGCATACATTCTGCTAACCGCATTTGATGAGGGAAACAACACGATGCGAAGAAAAAAAATTAACTAATTGGCTTTGGCAAGAAAAGTAACATCAAAAGGGAAAAGCCGACAAGCGATTCGTTTACAACATGAACATGAAATGATTGTAATATGTGAGACTTATGAATAGGCGAACAAGAATCTCGACGGGTTTAAGAATGAAATCAAGCTTTAAATTTATTCACAAAGGTCTTAATGGAATTACGCTCTTGTCTCAAAGACGCGGCTCAATTATAAAGCAGAAAATTTTCTTTTACAGAAAAGATCATTCAGTCAATCATATATTATTCATAATTGATGCATTAAAGCCGACTTTGAACATGTGAAAGGAGGTTTGTGAATTAATTAGCGACTAATTCCATTAAGCAACTTTTCTAAAAATCTAATAGTGGATCGTTTAATTCGTTATTGTTTTGCATCGAGTCTGCTTAACACGTTCCGTCTCTATCGACATGATCAGATTTAACAATTTGAAGTTGTTAATGGAATCGCAATGAAAATATAATTTGGAATTTCCAATCTCTGTTTAATCATTAAAAATGTTTTGATGCGTAAATAACGAATTTTTTAATCATTACATGTTTACGTGAACTTAAATGATAACCTGAACATTTGGTAACTGATAACGTGAAACTCCTAAGCAACAGCATGAAATTAAATGTTGCTCTCATTTGAAATATAAAAAGAGATGCTGCCAAAGCTATTTAGTTTAATCATTTCGTGGCTGAATTTCAGATCATTACTTGGACGTAAAAGTGAATTAAAAATCAGAAAATGATTGTTCTAAGAAGCTTCTTAGTGTTCTTGGCTGTATTTTATGTAACTGAAGGTCTCAACATTCAATGCAGTTACTCAATAAGAGAAGTTTGGATGTTTCCTTATTTATACACGTGCGAAGGACAAACAATTATGAACGGATCTTATAACGATTTTGCTCCATACTTTATCGAAGAAGTGTCACAAAATCATATTGGAGACAAAAGTGACAAAAGTGTGAAGGCATTGTTAATTGAAAACAGTAAAATTAAGTTCTTGCCTAAGAACATTGGTCAATTCTTCTACAATCTCGAGTCATTGAGTGTCATTGACTGCGATATTTTGGAACTAAATCGTGAAGATTTTGTAGGCCTCCCGAATCTTCTTCAAATTGATTTCAGGGGTAACAAGATTGACCGACTACCTTGGAGAGTTTTTGAGGAAGTTCCGAAGCTTCAAGTTATTGGACTTGCCTGGAATCCTATGAAATATATCGCCCATCATGTCTTCGATCATCTGATTGATTTGGAAACGCTTGACATGTTTGGAACTGACAGATGCTACAACAAGAAATTCAAGCAAAACAAGTCTGCGATAGCTTCTGAACTTTATGAAATCTTCCGACAATGTCCACCAACTATTGAGATGATGATAGTGGAGTTGGGATATGATGATCTAGTTAAGAAAGTGAATCAGTGTGTAAAAAAACTCGATGAAATTTCAACTCAATGAAAATTTTGGTGACTTTTATAGAGAAGCATCAGAATAATATTTTTAAAATGTTTTATTGATTCATAAACTGATTAAATAAAACGTTCTGAATAATTCTAAAATGCAAAAATATATCTCTGGAGTAACTCTCGGAACATTTGAAGATCATCAGTTAATGTCTTTTTGAAAGCGTTAGCACTGAGAAATGTTCCAGAAATCTTCTATGCTATTAAATCAATTTCATCTTTCATGGTCATTTTACACCGGACCTGCTTGATGAATTAATTCAATTATTATAATTACTTTGGATATAATAGAAAACAGGTTAATTCAACTAAATACTTATTTCTTTCATACTGAACTTTAATCAGATGACTGTAATTTATTGAATATTTTTCCGTGTTCTCATCCCAATTGAATTATGAGCAATAAGGTAAATAATTGAAAGCACAATGAACGCTAATGCTGAACATTACTTCACTTAAGAGATTGATTTCTAATGATATCAATTAATTACAGATTTGATTGATAATGTCGGGCATAATATTCGGTATGCATGTAAACTTTTAACGACTTGCTTTGTTTAAGTAATGAGAACGATAGCAAATGTTTGTATTAAACCTATGATATTAATTGAAGCCGAATTAATTAATCAAAAAAGTGTAAGGTAAGTTGTTCCAAAAAAAAGTAAAACAAAATATGAAAAATCATTATAATGATTAATTATGTAGCTGCCACATAAAATAAAAAGCGCGAGAAGAAAAGCTGGGACGGGATGACGATTATGAGCTCACAAATTATTTTATGAACAATCAAATTGTTATTCAAGAGGTTTAGTTTCACAAATGATGATTAAATATCACAAATTTAAAATTTCTAACGAGTAGCATGAGAATGTATGTAAAAACTAACTAATCAGTTTTAATCTCGAAGCTACTAACTTGAATTTCAATTACTTTCGCTTGCGGCAAATTTAAATTTTAATCCGAAAACATGAAGCTTAATTTCAATTAATTTCATATTCTGTCGGGTGTTTGGGTGAGTTTGTGATAAATGGTTTAAATAAAATAAAAAAGAGGTTTAAATGAAACGGAAGAAGTCGGAAACCATTTTGCCGATTCATTGTTGGTTCAGTGAAAAATTGTTTCCTTCTCGTTGTCGTTCATCCCCATTTGTATTTAACATTAACTTTTAATCTTCAACATTCATTTGATATCCCTAGTCAAAACAGTCTCGTAACAAACAAGAATGACAGTAAAATCATGCAGATGAGTTGGGAAAATAAATTAAAATTGTAGCAAATCGTCTGGAAAATTCAAACCAAATAAGAAACTTTGTTCGGTTATTTTTACATTTATTTATATACACAAGAGATTGTTTAAACATTGCAATGAGATGCTTCGTGAATTTTAAGTTTATCTGGAATTTAAATTAAAAATATTTAAATTCAAATCTTTTATGCTACTTAAACATAATTTTGATGCTATTCTTCAAAGCATATAAAAATGTGTAAATATTTTTCCACCGCTCAAAACATCATAAAAAATATTTCCTTTCCATTCATTTCTCAAACCGATACTCTTATGTCGGTTTCTCATAATTCTTGTGGCCTTTTTTTATTACGATTCTTTTCCAGTGGGTATAAATATTTATCTGATTTGTTATTGTATCATCATGGGCAAAAAAGCTATAAAATCTTCTTTATTAAACTGTTTGCGTTATTATATCTACTCTTTACCACCGAATGGATTTAAGAAATCATAAAAAGTTGTGAAAATATTTTGAGATGGAAAACATTCAGATTATTAACGACTGAATAATCAAAACATCCTTGATATCCATTTAAACATTCTCAGATGTCGGATCTGTGGCTTTGAACTCTTCTTCAACTGAATCAATTAGAACATAGTAAGAAGTTAACAAAGAAGTGTGATGTTGTTTGAGATTAAAGTGAATCTCCCCATCTCTCATTTTCAATCTACACATGTAAACTTGATCAGCTTAATCAAAATAATTTCATAATAGATTACAATATGTGTTAAAATCTCTTTCACTCTGAGAATGATGTGTCAGAGTGGGATAGGCAGCGATAATTATATGATGGTAGGTTAAAGAATCAAAAATAACGCGCCGACGCTACATTAAAGGGTCTCAGTTCTTTCCTTCAAAGGTGTGATTCGTACATAGAACACATAAATACATTTCAAGATGGAAAGTACTATCTTGATGTTGGCATCTATCATGTCTAATTTGTGTCTGAATCAATTTTCACAACAAATCATTCAAAGCCTAAAAAGCTTTTATTTTATAATATTAGAAAACGACTGGCGGCGATCGTTTCGATCTTCATTTACTTTTCAAATATAAACCATCACGAGTTTTACTTCAATGTTGAATATCTGACAAAATATTGTTAAGCTTTTCTCATTCTTCTCATTTTCTTCAATTATTAGCTTAATTAAAAAAGCTAGATGTGTAATAATCACTGATTATTTCTAAATCTCGACATTTCAACAGCTGAAATCAATTAAGATCACTGTCATAAATAATTCGTTCCGAAGCAATTGTTTAACACTGTTGAGATAAATAACTTCATGATGAAATTCTAATCCTTTTATCTCTCTTATGTTAATCAGAAATAATTTCATTAAAAGCATTTCAATGATGAGCTATTAGGAAATGTTGGGAACATGTTCGTGAAACTTCATTTATCACGGGTATGATTGATATGAAAACGTTCATTAAAATAGATTAAAACACTTAACTGACTTAATATCCAACTAAGGCCAATGAAGATGTCAAAAATTTAACATTATTTAATTTCAGTTTGTTTATTTAAATATTTTTATTCATGTAAATTTGTAGCGTTAATTATGAAAACGTGTTTCGCAGCTTATTCAATCAAGTACAGGATTTTAACAATTTTCCCCAAGGATGGACCAATTAAAAATGACATTTTATGTTTATTAAAAAATAATTAACTCATTTAGACAACACATTGAAATATTTTGCTTACTTAACATGCTTGTGACTGTAAGCTTATCTTTATCTTATCAAACGAGTGCTGATTAAAACGGAGAAACACAACAATTAGACTTTTGCAATCAAATCAAGTTAAACATTTGTCGAATTCAGACACACTTTAAGTTTTTTAAGAAAGCATGAAGTTTGTTATTTTGTTTTTATTTTTTGGAATATTTTTAACCAAGTTAGAAGCATCAAATATTCTTGCAATTTGGCCAGTACAAAGTCGAGCGAATTTCAATGTTGGCCTCGCGTTATGTGAAAAACTTGGCGATCTTGGACATAAAGTAAATAAATCAATTGAAATTGATTGATAACTTCCAATATTTCTCTTATCAATGATAGATTACGCTTATCAGTCCATATGACCAACGAGAACCACATGCAAACATTAACTTTGTAAAACTTGATCGTGTCGCTAATGCAGTTGATGTTATTCAGTTTTTTGAGATGAGAAATTTCACATTGTTTGAGTTGATGAAGTTTCATATTGATGCAGCTAGAGACAAAGTTGACTTCGCAATGGGTGATGAAGCTTTAAAAGGAATTCTCAAGTCACCAGAGAGTCACGATATCGTCATATTAGATTCCTATCTAAATGATGCAATGTTGGGAGTAGCACATTTTTTAAAATCACCTGTCATAGCATTTAGTAGCACCGGCGTTTCAAAGTGGTCAAATCAAATGGTTCAAAATCCTTTTAATCCTTCCTACAATTCAAATAGTTACTTGGGATTCACTGACGAAATGAACTTTTATGAAAGACTTTTAAACTCGGCAATGTGGATTGTTGAAAATCTCTTTTATCAGTAAGTCAAATTCAATACTTTTATTTTATATTAAAAGAATTAATTTAATTACAGTTTTTACTACATTCCATCTCAAGAAGCACTATATAAAGAACATATGAAAGAATTTCTTCCCGAACCGATACCAAAACTCATTGATTTGATTCATAATGTTGATTTGGTACTTTTGAATTCACATCCATTATCGCATCCACCAAAAGCTCATGTTCCAAATAGTGTTGAAGTTGGTGGTGTTCATTTGAAGACGTTAGAAGACGAAATTCATCCTGTGAGTTGAAACACATTTTTGAGAATTTATTTTTACTGATGAAAAATCAAACAGGAATTTATTAAAGTCATGGATCGTGCAACGAATGGAATAATTTACTTTAATTTAGGAGCCAACATAAAATCATCAGATATGCCGAACGAAAAGTTGGAAGTGTTTTTAAAAGTTTTCAATTCAATGATTGATGTCTTAGTTCTGTGGAAGTTTGAGACGATTGCTTTGAAAGAAAGACATGGCACGAATATCATCATAGGGCCGTGGTTGCCACAACAGGAAATTTTAAATCACAAAAATTTGAAAGTCTTCATCACTCAAGGTGGATATTTATCGACCATGGAAGCATTGTTTTATGGAAAGCCAATCATTGGCATGCCATTTTTTAATGAACAAAAGTCAATAATAGAAAGATCCGTGAGTCAAGGTTACGGACTTTCACTCGATTACGACGAGTTAAGTGAAGAATCATTAAACAGCACAATCCAAATGATATTCAATAATTCAACATTCCAAAGAAATGCTGAGAAATATTCAGCTGTACTCAAGGATAATCCAATTTCTCCAATCGATAAGGCAGTTTACTATGTTGAACATGTTATTCGTCACCACGGAGTTGACCATTTAAAAGTTGCTGCAACAAAGCTGTCATTCTGCCAACTACATCTCATCGATCAAATTACTTTTATTGCTTTCGTGCTGCTGATCGCTATCTCAATCTTATCAAAGAGCATAAAATGTTTCAAAATGAAATTCCAGAAGCGTAATAAATCGGATTCCGTCAAAAACTCAAAGAGAAAAAAATTAAAATCAAATTGAAGGTAAGCCTCCAAAAAGGCAACAATTCATAAATTGCACTCGAAACAGCTATGATTGCGTTCTCTTTCTTTCTCTTTGAGTTTTCTTAACACACACGATGCAATCATAAAAACAAGAATGAAAATTCTTTGTCGGCGAAACATTAAAAAAGAGTCGAAAATTATTTTTTAACGCGAAATAAAAAGTAACAAAAAAAGGCAAGTTAAGGAAATTGAAAGAAGTTTTCTTCTTATTTTTTTAAATCATCATAAATGTTATTTTGTATTAATAAGTTAATTTAGCACACCTCCTTGAGTAATAGCTCTCAATACAAGGATGAGATTTTCTTAATAAGAAAAAATTAAAAAATTTGTGTCAGCGGTGGGATTCGAACCCACGCCCTCAAGAAGAGGATCAGAACACTCAACCAGACTTCAACATCTGGTAAGAATATTCTTGAGTCTGACTCCTTAGACCAACTCGGACACACTGACATGTTAATGCTTGTGACAAAATGTACATTATATTTATGAAAACTTATAATGTATTCAATATTTATTTAATTCATTGTTTTTAATTTTTTTCAATAAACACAAAATTAAAAATAACATGAGCAAATCTTCTATTCGTTCTTTGAAGAAATAAACACATTCATACGTGAAACATTACAAAGCAGTTAACACAATGACAACGTATTGTAAAATGTTTGGAACAAGTGGAAACTGAAACATTCAAATGCTACACACAAGGTGACAAGAAACATTCATGATTTCATATTGATATGCTTCCACGTCTAAATCAATTAATTGCATTCCAAATAAAATAATATTAAATCGTCTTATTTCTTGAATAAAAGAAGAAAAAGCATTTATTAATTATATAAAAAGTATTTAACAAATAATGA